GAAGCTTCATTTTCTGAATTAGTCCTTGACCCTGGCACAAGCGTCCTAGACACATGCCGTAAAGCAAACGCCATTCCTGATGGTCCTCGAGGGTAAGGCTACTTGGGTTTAGGTTACTTGTTAGTTCCCCCTTCACTTTTACACCTTACAGCACGCTTCCAGGGGGTTGGCCTGATTCGTTCATGCCATCTCATTTCTTGCAGAAATTATTCCAAGAATAAAGTGAAAACAAAGTGCTTACTATTGAAACTGCCTCATTGTCTAGCATATTCTCATACTCTCTGAATTGGTTCATTTTCTTTGCAGCACTGTAAGTCTAGTGTGGCGTAGCCGTGTTGTTTAGGAAATGCACGCCTCCACCGGTCAGCTTAGAGTGTGGTCACAAATAGAAGAGTGCATAGTGCATGTCCCTTCTTCTACTCGGTCTCTGTCCTCTTCGCTTGGAGACAGAAGTTGAGGTGGTGTGGTGTGGCTCATGCCTGTGAGTTCAGCTCTTTTGGGAGGCCAAGGCAAAAGGATTACAAGTTCTGATGTAGCTCAGCCAGGGCAACTTAGTGATTTCGTGAGACCTTGTCTTGAAAGGGGGCGGGAGGGTGATAGAGCTCAGTGTGAAGACCAAGTCGTTTCCAGTAATCGAAAAATATGTATATAAAAAGTTGATTGAATTACTGAAAATGAAAAAGCTACAAAATATCTCTTGGTAATTGCATTTTTCTTTGGAAGTAGGCAGAATATTTTAATTCCTGTTATACCATATTGTGAAGAGAATACTTTTGCTCCATAAGACATTTTGCATGTGACTAATGGTTACTCATTTGTAAACTGCATAGTGAGATGTAGAAGAAAAAGCATTAGCCTGGAATGCCAACTGTGACTGGATCTCTACTAACTGAACATTTCTGTTTTCAGGTATCGAATGATAACAGAAGGTGGAGTCAGTATAAATCACAGACAAGTAACAAATCCTGAGAGTGTTTTAGTTGTTGGACAACATATTCTCAAGAATGGACTCTCTTTACTTAAAATAGGAAAAAGGAATTTCTACATTATAAAATGGCTTCAGTTATGAACAATCCTTTTGGTTATTCAGATGTTGTTCCCAAAACATGAAAAGTTGCTTTCAAAATGAAAAAGAGGCCTCACAATGTAATTTATTTTTTTGAGTTGGTTAATAAATAAGGTATTTATTTAATGGTGGTTTATTTCCTGGCCCACAGACATTCCAATGTCATTTCAAGAATAGGAGCTGAGGGGCTGGTGAGATGGCTCAGTGGTCTAAAGCACCTACTTAGAACAAGCTTAGCAAAGCCCAGGGACCACGGTTCAATCCCCCAGCACCACATGCCAGCCAGCCCGCCCCCTGGTGGACTGAGCTGGTCACACACATACACACACACATAAGTAAATAAAATTTAAAAAAAAAAAAAAGAATAGGAGCTGAACGTGGTGGCACATATCTGTAATCCCAGCCCTGGAGGCTAAGACAGATGAACTGCCACAAGTTCGAGGTCAGCCTGAGCTACATAGTGCAAGGCCAGCCTGAACTATCTGAAAAATAAATCTTTTAAAACATCTGCTTCATGAAAGAACTAAATAATGTCTTTTCTATCCTATCTTTCTTGTTCTTTTGGAAATAAGGTAAAGCAATGAAAAGACAGTTTAAGGAATGTGGGTATATTTAGGTCAAGAGGGGAACGCTGATCTAATAAGCCAAGCCTTCAGTGTTCATATTAGAAATGGGAAATCTATTGGAAACAAATTTCTGATTATTTTTTTATTTGAGAAGCAAATAGGTTTCTTCAAGTTCAGGATATAGTTGTCATTAAAAATTATGGTATGGAGAACCTTTTTACCAAGATGGTGCCGAAGGCAAAGAAGGAAGCCCCTGCCCCTCCCAGAGCTGAAGCCCAGAGCAAAAGCTCTGAAAGCCAAGAAGGCCAAGCCAAAAGGCATCCACAGCCACAGAAAGAAGATACTAATACCTTCCGCGGTCCCAAGACACTGTGGCTCTGGAGGCAGCCCATATACCCCGGAAGAGTGCCCCCAGGAGAAACAAGCCGGACTACTATGCCGTCATCAAGCTTCCCCGACCACAGAGTCAGCCATGAAAAACGACACAACACACTGGTGTTCAATGTGGATGTCAAAGCGAATAACCACCAAATCAAATAAGCCGTAAAGAAGCTCTGTGGCATCAGTGTTGACAAGGTCAAAACCCTAATCAGGCCTGAAGGAGAAGGCGTATGTTCAACTAGCTCCAGATTATGATGCATTGGGTGTTGCCAACAAAATTGGGATCATCTAAACTGAGTCCAGCTAGCTAATTCTAAATACATTTCTTCATTTAAAAAAAAAAAAAAAAAATGGTAAGGAACGCTCTGAAAAAGAACCAATCAGGCCGACCAAATAGCTCAGCTGATTAAAGCACCTGCAAGCAGGTGCAGGAGCCAGGGGTTCAATCCCCAGGCCTGCCGTGCTAGCCCCGCCTCCTGGGTGTACTGAGATGGTAATTGAGACTGAGTGTCATGGCACATACCTGTAATCCCAGCACTTGGGAGGCTGTAAACAGGTGGATCACTATGAGTTGGAGCTAGCAGAGAGACCCTCAACTCCCTGTAGACCCTTACCTAAAATACAAAAAAAAAAAAAAAAAAACCAATCAGTACTTCGCAGAAAGTTTCTAATTCAGCCTACGTTTCAGTGTAGTTGCTTACACTCCTGTCACTGGATTTCTGTCACTTTTGTAAAGGTAAAAACTTTAACTCTGCACCCAAAGGGATTGTAACTGGAAGTAAACTGAAAAGGTGAGGAACCAAAGGGGGAGGTGGGGACAGGGCAGTATAATAAAAATGAAATCCTATGAGGACATCAGATAAGAGAAGTAAGACTTAAGTACAGGCCCACCTATATTAGGCCAATTCATTTTCCTCTAGAACAGTTTCCACATCAAAAAAAATCAAGGTAACAGCACTCATTTCCTCTGGAGGAGCAAGTAAAATACAAAAAGGTTCATCAGATTTCGTGGAAAGCCTTGCAAGCAGCAGTGTGGCTCGAATGTCCAGATTCTGGCCAGCTGCTTGGGATTGTGTAGAGCAAGCCATTGTCCTCTTACGCAGAAATACACTCTAGCACTGAGTGAACTAAGACTAGTAAAGTTACAAACTTTTGGTATGATTTAAGCTGTGCTGTTAGGTTCTAAAGTAGATTTGTTTAGCTAGTTTAAACCTTTCTGTGAAGTGAGATTTATCAACAAACTTCAATACTCTTTCAAACCAGCATTTTATTTACATAGGAAGAACATTACAGGTACCATTATAAATATGCCCAAGATAATCTCCACATTTCAGAACTTCACCGGTTAAAGAGCCAACCAAGGAAGGCTTTCTCTTTCCATAAATTTCTTGCCCGTTTTTCTTTGTACAAAGTGTGTAGTACAATACTAGCAAGTGCATCACCATAGCATGTTTTTAAAGCTGACACTGTCAGTTTGAAATCTGATGTGCTGTAGAAAGGCACATTGTATTTTTTTTTCTTTGCAAATTCAAAAGGCTACAATGGCAGTCATCTGACCTGTGTAATAAGTAAACCATGGAAGGGTATACTTTCAAACTGGTGTTTATAATGATAAAATGATTTTTAAGTATGCTCAGATTTGGGTAATGTACATTAACTCAAGTTGGTACTATCAGTGAATTCAAGCAGTACTCATGTCAGACTGATTCTGGTTGTTTCTGAGATTAGTTGAACATAGGTCTTAATAAATGGGAACCATAGCTAAAATTAACATACTCTTAATTTGTCCCTGTCAGTAACCTTTCACAAATACCTGGTCATAACCTGAAAAGAAATTTTGTAATACTTATGTTGTTAGGGATGGAGCTAGGTGTCTTAAGGATTTCTATTAATGCCTTAAGATTTTTTAATGTACTTCATAATTACTTGGGCAGTTTCTACACACAAAAAGTATTAGTGAGAAATGCAATTCCCAACCCCTCCATGCAGTCAAATAGTAATCCTTTCAGAGTGTTAATGTGATGGATTCCTATAAATAACAAAGTGGTATTTCCATACTACAGTTCTAGTACATTCTGTTGGTGTGAAGAAAAAGAAGCTGTTATGAACTACTCCAGAGAACAGATGATGTCAGTCTCCCTTCAGACTGAATCTTGGCGTGTGGTGTCTAAGTGCCCCATTTTAGAGATGTGTATAGGTCATCACCGGATTAGGAACTGGCCATTAGTACCAAGTCATACTTGGTAAGATAAATCAAGCCCAGATGATTGTTTTTAAAGCAGTAAACTGTGACTCATTCTTTTAGGTTTAAGTTAGAATCAAACTGTATTTTAACTTTTAACACACAAGTGCCACATGGACCCTAAAGTGACAGAAGAGCTATGTAACTACACAGTATGTACCCATCTTTGTCATGTTTCAGATCCTCTTGTTAACTCAGCTTTCCTACGAACTCAGCAAAGATGCAGAGATTTTAAATTTAAAAGCTGTAAACTGCAGGGCAAGTAGAGTACAATGACTATGTGAGGAACCTGCCAACCCGCATCTCACAACCCAGTCATTCGATAACAGTGCATGCATCAGAGTTACATGGAAAGTCTTGGTACTTTCTTCTTCAAGGACTATGGCAGCAGTTTTTAAACTACTAGCAAAAATTACACAGGTCATCTTATCCACAGGCAAGTGGCTTTGTACAACTAGAACAGGAACAGTTCTTAAGTTCAAATGAAACCGTCACAAGACAGACGTGTATGTATAGGAAAACTTTAGAAACAGCCATTTATTATTTGGATTAAATGTGTGATTTGTTCTGTAATGCGGAGTACACTTCAGTTTATAGCCAGTCTTCACATGAAGAGAATCACATCTTTGCAGTACCCGGTAGTTCATAAATAAAATTCTACTTCGGTGGGCAGTAACTAGCAGGTTTCAAGTCAACAAAGTCTGTTATATAGTTCTCTTCACCAAAGATGAGTCTCTCGGATTTCAGCAATAATTTGACTGGCTCCTTGTAATGCCTATTAAACAAAATAAACACATGAAATGCTCAAATATTAATGTGAACTATGTAGAGAAATTTCTCCACTTACTATATAGCAGGTTTTTACTAATTCTCTGAAATTTGAATCTAATCAAGTCCCAAAGAAAACAACTGCTTATGTACATTTAAAGACTGTATTATCCTAACTTCTATGAAGGCAACAATATGCAATGTATTAATTACTGTAACTCATACTAACCTGTTTTGAAACTGTTTCATTGCTACTTTTTCTCATTAAAATGAATAAAAGATTTTTAAAAATAATAAGATAACATTTTATAAAGACTGTATTACCCAATGATACATTGTAAGCTACTAAATGAGTATCTTTACATCTACAACCCAAGCATAAAAATGGAAGAAAGCTTACAGTAATACCTTTAGCATATCAGCGGCTTCTTTCCTGCGCTGTGCCATATCCTCGGATTCAGTCAGGAGATCGTCCAATAAGGATGACTTATAAAGCTGTCCTACTAACTCACTCTGAAGAGTGTCTTTCACATGATTAACCAAAAAATGCATTACTGCCTTTGGCACACTGAAAAACAAAACCAAATTAAAAGTTTTAGCAAAATTCCTTTTAAATTTTGAGCTTAGACTCTGGCCTCAAAATAATAAAGTGAAATAAGAAATGCTGAGCTACCTGAATATTTCTTTAATGGGATAATCAGTCACCTTTTACGTTTTTACTTAATTATAATGAAGCAAAAGAAAAGTCACAATTCTTGATATTGTACCTTTTGTTTTGTTTCATCTATTGTATTAACACTGTACCAAGCACTATTGATAATAACCTAAATATGTGAAAAACTCAAATATCTGTAAGCTCATGAGTAAATAAAATATGGTATCTATATAAGCTAGTATTAACCATAAAAAAGAATGAAGTATCTTATGATATAAATAAACCTTAAAAACAGCAATTAAGAAGCCAGACACAAAAGACCAAACCCATATTTAATGTGTTCCCACTTATACAAAATGCCCAGAATTGGCAATCTGGTTAGAGGTGGTTAGGGAGTGGGGGAGTTACTGCTGACAGGTACATTTCTTTATGGGATAATACTTAAAATGGAAAGCCGGTACACATGAATTGTATTTTAAGAACAGCAACAAAAGCCTTTGTAGAGGAAGGAGCAGTAAAAGAAAAGCCACAAGCTAGATTTCTGTTGTTGTTCAGCATGCAGTAGAGACCACCAAGAACTTTTTTATTTTTGAAACAGGATCTTGCTAAATTGCCTAGGATTGGGCTGAATCACATGATCCTCTTGCCTTAGCCTCCAGAGTGCTGGGATTACAGACATGTGCTACCATACTCATCTATGAACTATTATATCTACCACAAGCTAAAAGTTAAGATATTCTATAAGCAAAAAGATAACTGGTTATAGAGATAAAAACACTGCTGCTATATGAAGTACAAGAGTATCCAGCCTTTTATTCCTCTCCAATGAAATTTCTTATTTACTAATAGTATTTTTAAAATATTTTCCACACAGCTAAAATTTTCTCCTTCTTGCATAAAATGACATCACAGGGGCTGGGGATATATCTCAGCAACACAGGGCCTGACTGGCAAGCACAAGGTCCTGAGTTTGACTCCCAGTACACACAGACACACACAAAGACATCATAAATATCTTGTCCATATGATGGACAAGACACTAGACAGTGGACACATGAAAAACATTCTGAATTAGAATGAGCAAGTATTTCCTAATAAGACATTTATTTAATATTTCAGAGAATCAAATCATTGAAAAGGCAAGCCAGTGTTAAGCCAAAATCAAAGAAACTACTAATTAAAATTTAGAATAAACATTTTCTTAGTTGAAAGTGTGACAATATAGAGCAGAAGAGTATTTCTGACTAGCTTTTCTAGCTAATAGGTAGGGTCCTAGTCTGTTAACAGATTACGAGTATTGCTAATGACAGTCATGCAGAGAGTATCAGATAATTCATTTAATTTAGGAAAAAACCCTAAATTTAAAAAAAATACATGATTTTCAAAATAACATGGACTCACTTAGCAAAATTATAGCCTGTGATGCACGTTAAGTAATACTAACCTGTCTTGAATATTCTTTCTGACAATAAGGAAATAGGACTTGATGAGTCGTTCAATAACCTCACAATCTCGCTGTTCACGGGCAGATAGTTTTCGTGCAACAGGAACCGGCTAAATGGGGTGGACAGGAAACATTATTTTTGTGCCATTTTGACATGATAATCCTCTTAACATTCAAAAGTTAAGTTTTGGAGAAGAAAGATTTGTACTATTAGTGTTTGGACAAGATATCATGTCTGTATGTTGTACTATGAATAATCACTACGAAGACAACAATATGCAATGTATTATTGCAATTGTCCTACTAACCTGTTTTGAAACTGTTTCAGTGCTATTTCTCAGTAAATTTATATAAATAAATAAATAATAA